TAGGCCATTTCTGATACATGAATTTTGGTTCGCTGATTTTTTTTCTTCCCACTTTTTTTGTTTATCAAGCATGATTTTTAACACAGTCCATTAGTTACTTTAGTTAGTAGGCCTTTATGTTTGGACTAATTTTAATTATTTTGTCTCCTTTTCATACCTTTGCCCATCAGCATTTGTCGTTCTAGGTTATTGTGACATTTTGTGAACTTTTATGTACTTTACCCAGTTGGGCTCACAATTAGGGCAAATGTGTCGGCCCAATTATTACAACGAACCCCAAGTGAGTTATGCTCCTGTTTAACCAAAGATCAGTTACCATTCCCCTGGGGTTACTTGGGTTTGCGTCTCCTCACTGTGCTCTGGGTCTTCCAAGCCTGTGATAAAGCCTTGCTGCCAGAGACATCCAGCCTTAAGGAAGTCAGTAGGCAGGAGAGCTGCGTGGTTGCACTCCGGGGTTCGTGGAGCTTTGTGGCACTGCTAGAGAGGATGCATCCAGCCGGCTTCGTTATCTGCTACTAAGCTCTGTAGGACCACAGCTGCAGAGCAGCTCTCTGCAACTTCAGATCCTTTTCTCCAAGTCTCCAGGGAGCCCAATTATCTGATGGGTTTGGATGTTATCCCCTCCAACTTTTGAATAATCATAGTAGAAACTCCTGGGGATGTCTTACGTTCACATGTTCCTGTTCTTAACACAAATCGCTGGTGCGTCCGTCACAAAGTAGTAGGGTCCCTGCTCTTGGAACTGAAGGGAAAATAGAAACTTGGAAATCATGGATTAAAAAGTACTAATTTGTCATCAACTGGTTGGCGAGCGATTCGACTATAATCTTGGAGCACTTGCAAATGGCCCCTGGAGCCAGTTCCTTCGCAGCGGTGAAGCGTGTGTCAGTGAAACAGGAGGCAGACCTGTCATCCTAAAAAGTTGCAATGGCCATAGGTTGAGCTCCTTGTCTGCCACTGCCCGTTTGGGTTGCTGCACAGAAAGTGAAGTCTTTTAAAACCGGTTGGGTTTGCTCTGGTTTTGTTTTGTTTCTTACTTGATGTTTCTTTTGTGTAAATCCAAGTTTGAGCAAATTTGCTACTAATACCAAAACTGGAGGGGTAGCAAACACTTGGAGGGGACACAAACTGCAAAGTGGCTAGTGTGACAGGTATGGCAATTTCCTGCAATATTCTGGGTAAACCTGAATGGATTAAGTTTAAGTACTTTGGGAGTACATTGTATTAAAAATGCAGATGGTTATGTATTATTTTGGGATTGCACATAATGTCTCTAGGGGGCAGTCATGACTAATGTAAACCCTGGGAAGTGTTAAGAGCTTCAAAGAACTATTTGAAACAATGGCCAGACAAGAACGAACTTTTAAAGTGAAGTGGGTTTTCCAGGAAATCTCCAGGGGGAAGTGTATGCAAATGTAAACTCCTCCATTTGTGCAAAAATTCAGCTTTTAGAAGCTTTGCCCTGAGGAGGGAACCTTTGTCTGCTCGTCACCTGTTACATGAGGGCAAGATCAGAGGCCCAAACGATATAAAGGAGAGACTCACAGATTCATGGGTGTTCTTGTTCTGAACAAAAGGTGTTACGAACTTGTAGCCACAGTAGAGCCCCTGGGTTTGAAGGATTGACACCTGCCAGAGCTCTTGTTGGAGTTGGGGTGATCTCTGGTAAGCTTATTAGCCTGTGTGTAGGTTCTTCTATTGTTTCAATATGTTTTCTCTGTCGTGCTTTCCCCTTAAGAATAAATGTGCTTGCTTAGAAAGAGTGGTGTGATAACTGTGGGCAATTACTCTGTTTATAGCCTCTGTGGAGAAAGCGAAGCAGGCCTGCTTAGGCAGTCTGACTTTCTGGGGAACTCTCAGTGTAAGCAGGGAACTGTGCAGCCTGGAAAAACCCTGGTCAGGAGGGAGAGAAATGTGGGTCTCCGCTCAAGAGAGAGGACAGCTGAGGATCTGGGAGCCTAGAGTGGGTGACCTTGCTGAACCAGGAAAGGGAAATTCAGGTGCGGTTGCTCTGAATGGTGACACATAGAATTATATACTATGTTATTAATGTACAGTAACTCCTGTGGGAAATAGGAACACCTGTGGTAGGAGACTGCCCAAAAGTAGCCCCTTATTTAGAAACCATGGGCTGATTCAGACAAGCATAAATCTGGGATAACTCTACTTACTTCAGTGCAGCTGCTTTGGATTCACAGTAGGGTAAATGAGATCAGAATTTGGCCCTCCATCTCTAACACGGCCAGAGAAAGTGTGAATGGAATCCCTAGCTAAAACAGAGACCTGCTGTCAGCAGCCAGCCACTGGCTGGCAAAACCAACTACTCCCAGGGTTGAATCTATTGGGAAAATGTTGTAGACTTGCTGAAAACAGAAAATGAATTAGAGGATAAAAAAAGTGAAAATGAGCTGGCAGAATCTTTAGGTGACTCATCAGGTGCATCTTGTAAAGTCTGTTTCTGGGAAGCGATGGGATAATCCAGCGTTCTGACAATATTTGCTCTGCAGCAAGGAAATGCAGAAATATTGGGACCAGTTAGTGAAATTAGATACCTTGACCAAAATGCCCATGGAACCTGCTCAGAAACTGTCCTTCCTTCTCATAGACTGTTTTTTCACTAGTGCATTTGAAAACAGAGTCAGCTGAACAGGGATGCTAAAGGCCAGTTCTCTGCACCCATGCCTAAGGTCATGCCAGGAAATACATTGTCTTTGCTGTATAATGCATCTAGAAGAGGTAGAAAACAGTAGAATTCCTCTTTGATTGACGGTGTTTTTTGTTTAATATTCTGAAGGTCAGTTATACCATTCTGTATATGCTGTATTAAAGAGGCTGCGTGGTCCAGTGCGTAGGGCGCTAGCCTGGGATTTGTATTCATCTTGGTTTAATTCCTTTCTTTGCCACACACTCCCTGTGTGACCTTGGACAAACCACTTACTTTCTCTGTGCCTCAGTTTCCCCTCTGTACAATGGGGATAATAGAACTGCCCTACCTCGCTGTGGTGTAGTGAGGATAAATACACTAAAAATTGTGAGGGGCTCAAATACTGCAGTAACGGACATCAATAGTTATTCCAGATTTACACCTTTGTGAATGAGATTGGGATCTGGATGTAAATAATTACTAGGTAATAGGGACTGCTGATAGCTATGGGCCAATTTCTACTATGCTTCCTCACCTGGAGGTAGTACCTTACTCCATGAATATTCCCATTGAAACATACTCCTCAAGGGCCTTGATCCTGCACCAAGTCAATGCGAATTTTTCCGTTGACTTGAGTGGGAACAGGACCAAGCCCAACGTGAGAGAGGGTGGCAAAATCCTATATCTTACATTAAAAAATTCCATACCTTAAATGACTGAACCACCAAATTCTGCACAAAACAAGTCTATGTTGAATATTCTTTTCTCTCTCTTACTCTCATCCTCCTTCCCCATTCCTTTCAATTATTTGTTACATCCTCTTGGTTCATTTTGTCAGAAAGTGGATTGTACGCTGTTTGGGACAGGGACTGAGACTTTTGCAATGTGGCCCTGCCTCTGATTTGGGGCCTTTGTGTGCTACAATCAATAATAAAAACATGTATTTAATGAATATTCATGGCATTTTCCTTTACAGTGAGCATTCTTCAATGAAGAAGATTT